GACAAGTGGAAGTGAGGTTCATGCTCTTTAATTATTAATCTAATGGGATAATAAGGACAATAACAAACGGATATATCAGTTATAGTAGAGAAAATGTTGAAGTGGGTCAATATAATGCATATCTTGGAATCAAAACCACCCATTGTCCTATTCGCATCATTGTTTTACGAACCCGGAATGATTGTGATTCATCGGGAGGGTATCTGCTTATTCATGTGTGACCACGCCACAACCTCCTTAATTTCAAGTTTGACACTTAAATTCGTATTAAGAACTAATATCAATTACAAAAGCTTTATAAATCTGCTTGGCTTATTATCCAAAAACTTGCAAGAATTTAATTAAAATTATGGGTTACGTGTGTACAATATATTCCTTACAGAAAGGGTTATATATATTTCCTTGGCTTTTATCCAAAAATTAGCAAACATTAATTAAATTAAGGGGTGGGTATGCATGTGTAGAATCTGTGGGTAACCCTGTCACATAACTTAAGTGATACTATAAAAAATAAAAAAAACAGTTTTTTTTTTAATTTTTTGATTGGTCTTGGATAAAAAAAAAAACAAAAAACTTTTGATTGGTAGGTCAATCATCTTTTTTAGGTTGATTTTAGAATCGATTTAAAATAACTGATTTATTTAAATTGCACCACAATAAAATTGTTATATAGTGACACACACCTTATAATGACACTATATATGTCACTAAAAATTACTTTAACCCACACAATAACTATAATATATGTTGATATATTATTAAAAAGTGTGAGTATAGACTATAATGACACAAAAAATATGTTGTTAAATCTCATCCAAAATAAATACTAAAATTATGCGTAACTACATGTAAAATAGACATATATCTACATATATTGTACTTATAGTGACACTTTTTGTATGTAAATATATGAAACATTTGTTGTAGTGTTGGTTTCATGAAATAATTAATTGTTTATTTACTGTGAAAGTAAAACAACAAATATTTATTTTCGCTTTTTCATGGTATCACTTATTTTTAATATAGAATTGATTATCGAGTGTGTTATCCAAACATATTATTAAAAAAAAAACCTATTTTTTAAAGTGTGTGTTTTGAAACATGTTTTGGATGTAAAAAGTCATGTAAATAGTAAGAGTATTATCTGTATGTTTGGTTTCATATTTATGATTTATGTTTAAATAAAAATTTATATAAAAATAACTAATTGTTGTTTTCACCGATTCACACTCAATTACAATCTTGTAAATCCAAACATGGTTTATGTGTATTTTTTCTATGAATTACGATTTAATTATATAAATTTCTCTAAATATATTTTTGAAAAGAAAATAATAAAAAAAAACTTTTTTATGAATTAAAATTAACATATATGAGGAACGTTTACAAATTAGCTTATACATGAATTTTATATAAAAGTTTTTATTCTTTCTTATAAATGTTTTTGTAGAAATTTATTTGAACATACTCTTAATATAAAAATATAAACTATATTTACGATACTGATTAAAAAGAGTGAATTACTGTATGTTAATGTTGATGAGTGCTTAGTCATTTTCTGGTGCAGAGGTTGTGACATATCCTGTGGGAGGGACCACTGCATGGCATCTTTCTCAGTGCTTCACTTATTACGTGATTTTGATGGCTTCACTTGTCAGTGACTATACCCCTCGGCCCATGGCCCACACTTGTTGCCACGGAAATCGCAGTGGAATGCAAGAAAATGGCAAAAGTGATACTGCAAGCCCAATGTAGAAACTGAAAGGGCCTCTTGTAATAATGGAAGCCCACAGGGGTGAACTCACTCATAGGAAATCGGGTTTATCGGAAACACCATACCACGCCCCCTCTCTTTTCGTGCACACAGTCAACAATTTTGACTCCTTTATCCAACCTAATCAAATCATTACTTTTAATAATTTTATAGTACTGTAGTATGTTCTTTCCCTCTTGTTTTTATTTTCTTTTTTCATTCATTTCAAATATACTCCTACTATAGCCCTCTGCACAATTACCACCATCCATCAAAGAAAGGAAGAAGAATGATGATATTGGATTTGCTTCTTGTATGTGATGATTAATTACTATATTTGTATTAGATAACACATCTATCGACTAATTTATTATTTACTAAATAATAAACAAAACTTCAAAAGAGTACTCAAGTCTTGAGAAACTTAAAGAAAGAAAAAAATATAAACACGAGGATAGGAAAAACAATATTTCATTAAAATTACCTAATTAATTGTCCATAATTTACATAAAAATCTACATAATCTAGACAAGTAATGGTTATAGAAAATGTCAAATGAAGAAAAAATAAATAAAACTCCATAGAAGCTTGAAGAGCTACGAATGTCTACCTTAATCATATGTATATCTCCTAGAGAGAAAACAAAACACTTTGGATGACAACTCAAATATTAGAGAAGAAAATATATTTATTTATTTATTTTCTATCTTCTATGGTATAGGTCGAGTATTTCATATTTTTTATTTAAGTACAATTCAATTAAGTTAATTTTATTTAATATTTTTAATTTAAAATTATTTATAAAATAATAAATAAAAATACTATTAACAATAAATATGATTAAGGATATCTTAACAAATGTAATGTATATTTTATATAAAATTATAAAAATTAAATATAGTTTAAATTTTTTTTT